CAAAACAACTTTTTGAGAAGCTTCAGTGAAGGCTTGCTGCCAAAAAGCAGCGTCTTAATTTACATTATGCTCTCAATATATGTATTTTAATTTTATTTGGCACCATTTCTAGGCTTTACTTGTCGATAGTCATTGGTTCCAATCCTTAATTTAAACGGTAGTCTCCACCCTTTCTTTTGTATGCCATTTCCAAGCCTGTGAACATGCATCGACATTAATTTGCACTTTTTAATACTGGCAGGAAAAATGCGCGAACAAAAATTATATCTTTACTCCGTCCAAAAATATCCCGTGCTACGTTTTGTAGTAGAAAGTGAAGGAAGATACTCTCGTGAGATATATTGATATATAGCTCCACGTTCAACCTTCGTTCTGGGCGTGGTATACGGACATTTTCTACCTTGTTTTATGCCGTTAAAAATGCATGCTCTCAAAATTAAAGTTGTTATGATACTGGCTTACCTCAGTTGCTACAAGGCGTAGACGTTAATCTTATCGACCGAAGAATTCTATCCACCGAAAGAAAAAACAAATGTACTAGTTGATAATTCCGACAAACTTCCACTCTGAAGACTGCTGTCGAATGAATCTAACAGAAGGTATATCAATGCTTATAGTTCATCGTAGTGGATATTGGAAAACAATGTATGTCAACCACCACAAAACCACAGAACTTGTTTTAACAAAACACGAATAGAAATCTATAAGTATAAAAGAATAGTTGCCATGCCTTATTTTGTGTCAAGGAATTGAAACCGCAAACACCTGATAATAAAACTTAATCCTTCATTCAAAGACCATCATCATTGTTCATAAATTGTTTTCAGAACGATCAGGACTGTAGCGTCAAACTGTGATGATTAAGGGTACATCCCATAGATATTCGTAGAGTTATGCACGCATTTCACCTGATAATTTCCATTTGTTAAGCGCACCGGATGCGGAGCTGCTAATTCCTCAACCCCCACTAAAGAGCTTTGTGATTTCTTTAGATACCCTTTCTTTAGTTAGTATTTAAGCACAAAAACGCCAAAATATTTCCGTGATTTTTCGGTCATACCCCAACCCCCTTACAGGTGCCACTTGCAGTTGCAACTTTGACAGAAGCTCCCTTCTCCAAGTAAGTAGCCCAGCTCGATGTTCTGTTCATAATCGTGAAGCAAACATTGTTGCTTTCCTCTTAAGCTGTTCAGCGATGCAAAACGTCTCAATAAATAGGGCTAAAGAACTGCAGTCAAAACAAAAGAATTTGGGCTCAGTTGTGAGTGATGTTACATTTGCAGCGACAGAATCTTAATTCTTATTCTTGTGAATTTATTTCCTTTTTCGTTTCAAAACTTGCACATGGATACCATCTGTGAAGTCACCGTTTGCCTCAGTTTAACTGAGGCATGAGCAAAAACGAGAATGTAGCACTACAGCGATATCATCGTTTGATTGTTAAACAAACCGGAACTGGTTCAAAACAATTCTATTCCCTTGAATGGTTTTCCCACTACCAGTATAAATTGGCAAAGATAATAGCTGATGTTAAGCTGTCAATGTATCAAACGAAGATCTATGGAAAGAGGCATAACAGGGTCATATAAGCTACCACGATGTGTCATGCTGCTGCGGTGCACACGCTGGTGGGAAAAGCGGGGTTATAGTTGTTGTGGCTACCCGTTGGTCTTTAGGTCGTGAGGTCCAAGTTTAACCCGGCTGAGGTCATTTTGCTATGTTGGCCCGGGCAGTGTCGGTCTTCATCTAGGTCGATACAAGTGCTTTGACGAATTACTTTTGTGCAAGCTTACAAAATGTTGGAAATATTCGTGAAGGTGCAGTGAAGTTGATCATGAACGGCTAAATTGACTCGCAAATGACCAAACCAGAACTATTTCAAAATAATTATATTCCCTTGAATGGTTTTCTCACGATCAATAGAAATTACATCAACTTGGAAAAAAAATCCAAGTTCCAGATGGGATTTGAACCCAAGACCCTCCCCTGTCATTTCTACATTTAATATTCCTCACTAGAAATTGCCAAAGATAATAGCTGATGTTAAGCTGTCAATGTATCAAACGGAGATCAATGAAAAGAGCTATAACAATGTCATATAAGCTACCCCGATATGTCATGCTGTTGCGGTGCACACGCTGGTGGGAAAAGCGGGGTTACAGCTACTGTGGCTACTCGTTGATCTTTAGGTCGTCAGGTCCAAGTTTAACCCGGCTGAGGTCATTTTGCTTTGTTGGCCCGGGCAGTGTCGGACCTCACCTAGGTCGATACAAGTGCTTTGACGAATAATCAATTCCTTTTGTGCAAGCTTACAAAATGTTGGAAATATTCGTGAAGTTGCAGTGAAGTTGAACGGCTAACTGGACTTGCAAATAACCAAAAATAGGTCAGTTAATCCGCTTGCGAAATACCAACCACAACGTTCTAAAACAAAGAGTTTGTTTGCTTTCCGATCGATCATAACTGTTAAGTCAAACCGTGATCCACAAGGGAACATTCCATAGTAGCTCATAGTCTTTTGAAGAGCTGAGCGCATATTTTACCGGGATCAGAATTTTCATTTGTTCAGTACTGTGGAGACGTTATGTTTACTTCTCATTTAGCTCCCACTGAAACGTTTCCTGTTTTCTTTAGACGTCCTTAGCTGTGGAAGCTTGTTGATAAATTAACTCTAGGGGGTAAATCAAGTCTCGCCTGTTTTTGTTTAATCACGTTTTGCACGAGCACTAGGCAAGAATCCCATTTTATGATTGAAAACTGCCTCTGCGCTGAATGTGCGATTTTCGATTCGGGTGTGAAATTAACTAGCGGCTCAGTATTTAAACTGCGCATTCAACCTTCTGGTTTTGTTTCGTTTTTTTGTTTTTTTGTTTTTTTGTTTTCAAACATCTGTTGAATTGTCTTCTCCTTTACCTGATATTATTCAGAAAGGCGTATACCATTGCGTGAGTTAAATAAAACATTTGTATAGAAAAGCCCTTTCTATTCTAACTTAAACTTTCATTTTATCTTTTAAAAGCCCAAAATTGTCCCCCATACCAGAAAATGATGAGATATATCATTTCTTTTGAAGAAACGAAACGAATTGGAACGGTTGAAATGTGCTCATCGCGTTTTTTTGACCAGAGTCACTCAATTTGGTTTAGCAGTATGAATTGACAATGTTTTCATGTAATATGATTCTCGAAAGTTTGTTGTCCTCTCAGTGGATGGAGGCTTCTCTTGGTAATTTTACTGAAGAGTGTGACATAGTTTGATGTTCAGTCGTGGCTTTGTTCAGCGACTGATGGGCCGAAAATTTTAACAATAAATGATTAAATGACACTGATCATATGACATGATACACTTCTTACTGATCTCTTACATCAGTCGACAACTTCTGCATATTCCTTTTTTCCCATTTCTTCACGGAAAATAGAAATGAAATTGAGCTTGCATTAATCTTGAAACAAGAGAAACATTAATCTGTTTAAAGTGTTTGTTTTCAACTATTGGCTGCGTGCAAATTCTGACGACAAATGGGTCTGACGTAATGAGTTCAATTTATGTACACAGTTTGGGTACAAGCATGGACACAAAGTTGATGCAAAAGTCAGAATTCCAATTTTTGGAGGATGCAAAGACTCTCAGCATTTCAGAGATGTTTCCGGGAAACATGCTTTTAAGCAAAAACACTCCTAGCTACCCCGCCACATTTTGCTTTTCGATCGGTGCTAAACAATGGTAGAATTCGGATTGTTCCTTAGCGACCTTGAGCTAGGATCATTAAACATGGTTTTAAAGGTACCGGCCGTGAAATGTAGATAACTCTTACCTCGCTTGCTGCATGTTTCAATGTGCAGGACTGATGTTATTGTGGATTTTGATTGAAGGACCTATACCGTTGGCAGAAATAATTCCCTGGGAAATCAATTACACTAACAGAACTGTGTTAAAAATGATTTTGAGTTTAACTCGGACATTTTAAGTGAGCAATTATTGCTTGTTCCTCTATTTTGTTAGTTCCCACAAGAAAAAGATGACGGGAAGCTTCCAACGTACAAAAATACATCCGAAATGCAACTGAAACAACACTACTTCGCCATTGTATTTTTTCCCCTTTCGTCTCTTTGTTATAAATAAACAATACTGAGGTGTTTCCATCTTTTCAAGAGCAACTCTGAGTTTTGGTTTTGGTTTTGTCGATGCCCTTCAGTTGCGTAGCAACAATATGTAATTACACGCGAACACATGTCAACAGATAACTTCCCATAAACGTGTTTAACAGTTTTAGTTCCACGAATTAAATTTTTATGAAGCTCAAAATATTGCTATTCTTTCCTATTCATGTTTTCGAACCATACAATAGATTGAATTAATAAATTCATTGTGTCAGCATGTATCTTTTATTGCCTTGCTCCATGGATGTCAGACCACTCGGATTTTGTTTTTCCGCTATGACATCACCTACTGGCCGACTTCCATGACTGTTTGCTTACCCTGCAAGTTGATCAACAATGAAACCGGCAGGTGATATTCGTCGCTGAAAAACGACGAGGAATATTACTGGAAACCAAGCAACAACACTCTAAAATGACCGGAATATTTTCTCTTTTCCAACCAGCTGAAGCAAATTTCTGGTAAGACGAAGAATATTTCTGTGTTTATTCGATGGATCTTGAGAATATAACAGCTTTATTATCGCTATATAGCAGTAATACATGATTTACGTGCATGTGCGGTGTGAAACCGACCGGCCGGCTATCGAAGCCTTTTTGTTATTATCCCGGAGTGAGTACAGCGCTTTTATTCATATTTCACTCTTCCTGGCTGGTCGGGTTCACATAAGAATCGTTATTTCGTAAAAATTAAAACAAGGTTTGGGTTGATGTTGCAAAATGACTTATCCAGCCAGGCATAAAATCACTCGGTCGCTTACAGTTTGCAATATGCAGTTATGCGACCTAAAGCAAAAGCGGAAACCAAATTGCATACAATCATGACAGTTCAAAAAATTGAAAACATATATATATTGGCTTTCCAGTTCGTAAATTTGAATATGTCCCACAGCATTGAATCGATCCAAGTCGTCAAACAGATTCGAAAATGGTAAACCATCATGAAAATCAAATTAAACTTTGTTTGAAGTGGCTTCTCCAATGTCGTGTGTCGTGTAAAGAAATGATTATAATTATAATTATTTTGAGTTTCGCCTTTTTTAATCGTCCTCTGAGTTTCTGTTAACCCTACAGTTAATGTAAATAACGCAAGAACACTTCGAGAGTCTTACTAACCAAAGCGGAATATTTTCTCGAATATTACGAGCTTCGCAGATGATTGTTCACAATTGACTAAATATTATGTTTCAATACGCAGCTGGCGAACTGGAAACTCGCCTTTTTATTTTTCCAGAATCTTCTTTTGCGTCGCCGAATTTGAATAAGAAACCAGACGACTGGAGTATGGATTAAAATCAGGATTCCAACTCAGTTTTGTTCAAGAAGCGTAGTGCACACATTTGAATATCAGCCAAATTTGCGGGGTATTTATCGGTAATAACTTTTCAAGCAAGAACTGAACTGAGTAGGAGTGTAAGATCGTTAAGTAACTTCCACAGAAAATGGCAATTTCGGGCGCATCGATAGATGAATAAAACAGCACTTATTTCAGAGTAAACAAAATTTGATTCCCAAGCTAAACAGCATGTACAGTCAGCCTGAGGCCACAAGACGGACGGCAGGTTGGTTAGAAACAACGCTGATGAAGATTACTGGCCTATTTAATTCTCAGATAACATATTTAAGCTGAATTATTTTAAGTTCGTTACACGATGCCCGGCTAAACTTTGTCGAGTAATGGTAAATAACTATGATTTTTCGTGCGTTATAAGGAAAGCGAATAAGGGATGTTTCGGGAACGATTAACGGTTACCATTTTTGGTAACAGCTTAATTAGAACGAATTTAACGACAACATGAAAAACCGATAATTTTCAAAAAACCCTCAAAGATTAATAGCTTAGAATTTTCAATTATGACCACCATAACCTTCACAAATCGACGTAAGCGCTGGATTAAACATTCGGTAAGCAAATCGATTAATGCAATACCTTTTAAAAATGTAAATGATGAGCCATACGTCATTTATAGTCTTGACAATGTTACTTCTTCCGCTGGTAAACATTAAAGTGAAAATTGTGTCACTATACATACATGTATATACTGAGTTTTAATCTTTTTAATGTCACTACTAGAGTTTCATTGCATTTCCAGTCTGAAGATGAGAGACATTTCTCCTTGGACATGGCTTGTGTGACGCGGAAGGTAAGCAGGATATCGAGTTGAGCTACAAGACAAAAACTGGTTGGTTAGTCCTGGTTGACGCATAATAATTAAAAGCATTTTTCGGATAATCCCACATATTCAGTCAATATTTCTTTTTAGCAGAGATATACGAGACACTGACAAGTATTTCTGAGATATGTGTTCACTGACAGCGAAATGGTATAGAATAATTGATTTTTATTATATTACATGGCCGAACTAGTCCGCGATGAAAACGAGAATTCGTCTTGGTCCATTAGCGGTGCGAGTTCCCTTAGCGGTGCAGACCGCTCAGGAATTAATTTCAGCGAATTACTTTTTTCAATTCATTGGACAAGTAAACAGTTTTTTTTCCAGTAGGAATCCTTCTTACCATAAATCTTTGATAACACATTGTTCGTGGCTGGTCTGACGCAACGCTTTCGTTTCGTCCCGGCCAAGCGAGTCTTCATTTAGAGACCTTTCTGCTTGGCAAACTCGTTGATGATCGCGCTCGAAAAGTCCCGTTCGCTAACAAAATGAAGACAGCATTTCTGAGACTCTCAGCGCCATTCGAGTTTGCCAAGCAGAAAGGTCTCTGAAGAGTCCCTTGGTCAGAACGAAACGAAAGCGCAACGTCAGACTAGCCACGAACAATGTATTATCACAACTGCATGGCAACTTTTCTTGTCATAAAACTTTTGACCATAAAACTACCAATAAGAGCGCGCGTTAGATTCAACTTAACTTCAACTATATAACGATTATGCTAAATGACTGACCCAGTTTGGGCCGGACGTGAAAATATTATCTTCAATCATGCGTCCGATCTATTCACCTCGAAGACGATATTTTCCTGTTCCTTCCTTTTACTCTCTCTGTGATAACTGAATTGAATATCCTTTTGGAATCGCTTGTTTGTGTGAGCTTTTTTATGTTTTTGTCTCTATGTTTCAGTAGGCATGGAAGACAATTCGCCATCTTTGTTACAAAAACGCAGCTGGATTTCACGTCAGAGCATTAACAAGGAATTTCTCAAATCATATTCCGGAATCATACGAATAGCTGAGATGGTGGGTATCACGTCACGATCGTAAAAAAATGCGAATCCTGTAAACACCTGATCTCTATTCAAGCTTTGAGGAAAGCCGCGTTGGAAAGCCCCGGAACCTTTTCGGGCCCGCAAAGCCATTTTTCGTTAATCGGTATTTAAAGACAGACAGATGTATACGCCTGAAACGTCTTATATGAAGGGAACCTCTTCTCATATTAAGAATATATGCATAAAACAGCTCAGTAGTCATAAGGTTTGAGATTGTGCTATGGCTTTTTGGGTGCGAAAACTATTCGGGAACTTCGAGAAACGGGCCCCTGAATCGTTGGTTTACAACCTTAAGCGAGACGTCGTGCATCTCCGACCTTCTCACTTGGGAGCACCCTCCCCTCCTAGATTGCATCAGAAGGCAAAGGATAAAATCATTACTGTATCTCGCCCCGATGACCATTTTATTCACACTTTCTCAAAATGTGGTTCGACTGATTGTCCCATCACTTAGCTACGTTTTACGAGATCGACAGTGTTTTGATATTAATATCATTATGTTAGGAGAAATGCGAGGTTAACCAGAGTTCTTTCTTGCTTTTGGCAGGTGAGCCTTGCAACTTGTTTTGGTGCATTGCTGCATTATGTCAAGCTGGTTGCCAAGACAACAGTAACAGACACTACGTTTTTAGTCACTACGGGCGTGTCGTATTTTGTGACATTAATTCTATTTCTTACAATAGCCTTCGATCCACAGCAGAAATTCATCAGATCCACTAAAACCTGCAATATCTTAGTAAGTTATACAATGACAGTATATGCTATAAAGAGCGAGTGCCAATAAACTTCTACTAGGCAAACACCGCGATTCATTAGTAACGCGCTCCACCCTCGGCTATGAAGACTGACACACAAATGAAGTATTATCGTCATTAAGATAATGCGAGTTCCGTGCGTAAAGTTACAACGAGGACTCCTAGTCCCGTTGGATGAGATACTACACCTCCACAGGTTTCCCCTCGCAGAGTTTTTCAGGTCAGAATTGCCCAGTAATTCGCTGAAATCCATTTCTAGTATACTCCTGGTAAGGGAGGGACACTGATATCTTCCCATAGCTATAAATGACAACTTTACACGGTTCGATGTATTATACAATGTCTTGTCATGGATACCTTATTTTTCTTACATAGATGGCCGTTTTCACACTAGCAACCTCTATTGCGTTGTTAACATCATCAAGCCTACTCGCAAGCGAGGCAGCTAAGCTGGGTGACTCCCATCATCATGTGCCATACCGGGACAAGTGTGGGAAGTGCAGTAAGATTAACATCGCCACGGTACGTTAGGGCTTAATTAAGTAGAGAGTGCAATCACGGTATTCGCGAATTCTAGAAATCAGATAAGTACAAATAGGCGGATATCCCGACGAATAAACGGTGAAAAATGAGTAAAAAACTTTGTCGATTAATCAATCTTCTTAGGCTGGTTGTTGTTTATATATTAGAAATCACTTACTGCCACGTTTACATTTTTCACAAAGCTCACATTACTCGACTTACATAACAGAATTACAAGCGTCACATTATCTTCAGTTTCAAATGTTACCAAGTAGTTTCATCATATGTAATGCATCACTAGAATGTCATATCGACAACGTCCAGTGTACAGGCTGGTTTACGTTGATGGTTCACTGAAAGACAATTACGAACTACAATAAAGTGACGTGCACGTGTTACGCTAGAGACATGTTCACGTGACATCTATCAGAGAGCTTGTGCTTTCCGGTGTCACAGTGATATGTGTATCCCCGTGATATGTGTATCCCCGCACACATANCCGGCTCTAATCGAAGACTGCTCGGGATCTTCAACGGAGATTTGGCAGTAACAGTTAGTTAAGGAAATACTCCACACTGTATTGCTCAATCAAATATCGATTCATATATTGATCTTTTTTCAGATATTTGGCTTTCTATCGTGGATCTTATATACAGTGGATTTTTTTCTTCACATGAGACAGTATGGTCAGTTTCCTTGTTCCAAACGGAAGGGATGTAGAGTGACTGTACAACAAGTTTCACCAATGACAGACAATGAACAAGAAGAGGCTGCCGCTCATGCAACCTTGAACTGAAGACAAGAAAGCTTCGCCTTGAAACGTAATTTAAACAAACTGGTGGTCTTTATGTGGTCGATAAAATGAAAGTTGGTGGAAAAAGCAATTGTTTTTTTTAGTGTGGCATTAAAACGATATCTTACACAGCCATTTTCAACATGGCATCAAGATGGTGAATATCCTCGAAGTCCTCCTGACGTCTGTTTCTTTCCGGCCAAGCATCGCAAATGAGGGTAAATCCGGGATCAGTTGAAAGTTTCCAAAGTAAAATTTACGAAGAAAATGTATTGTATTCAAGGAGATGAAAGCAAGGAAAACAAGACGCCGAAATGGCAAATATTTAAACTCAGCATTTTTCTGATCTACGTTCTCCAAGACATCGAATTCGTTGCTTCAAAGCACGAACAAATCGAAGAGAGACATGACAACCCCGGAGAGGGGGGCTCCCATTTAAAAAGGGGTCAGTCATCGGAAATTTTGAAAAGAACGCCTAAAAGGTGCCAAGAGCCTGCTTTGAGGGCGTGGGTTGAAATTTTTCTCACCCCTGAGAGGTATACCTACCAATTCTAAAACAATAAGTTATCTCCAGCCATAATTTTTTTCGGCTCAATACCAGAAAAGGCACATCAAAAGCTGTCGCTGTCGAACTTTTGAGGCTGAACACTCTACGAGGTATCAAAACAGCTCTTTAACCCCTAAAGGATACGACGAGCAACCCCGTCCTTTTACTAGGGGAGGCCCCCCCGGATTATAACGCTCCAAATTTGAAAATATAGCAAACGTCCCCGTTTAGATCTAAATCGTCACCAAATAGTGAAATCAAGTGCTATTTCCTTTTGACAATCCCCTTGCAAAAAAGGCAGATTAAAAAAGTAGATTACAGCTAGATTTTAAAAAAATATACACGAGCTTAAACGCACTCTGTGGCAAGCGCAGAAATAAAGTCAGTCTTTATGTAAATGTATTTGGCCTTGCCTTTGTAGGCTCGATTACCAGCCGCTGTTCGAGAAAGGAGCCCACGCTACTACTCCGAACTCCGCGGCGGGGGTGGGGGAAGGGAGGTAAACTCTCTCGGTGAGGAACGTGGAGGGGACTTGAGTGAGTGGCGGAAATCGAGCCTAGTCTTTGAGAAGGAAGTGAAGAATGAATGCAATATTAATCTGGTGGAAAACACAGGTCGGCCGACGGATTACCGACGGTCGGTTTCGGGACCTCTTCTTCACATTTGCCATAATTCGCGTGTGACATTTTAATTGCAAATCTCTGGAAAGGTAATGAGGAAAGTAAAGAAGAGGATTATGGAACCAATTATGCTATCAGTATATACATTTTGAAGGGATTTTCTTCAATCGAACGGGGTGGTTGTACTAGATTTTTTAAGGCTAGATTCTTTAAGGCCGTCAGAGCTGCAAACCATTTTAAAGCGGGATTCTACCTGAAATATGCTCCTTTTTTGCACAGTTGTGACAACCCTGATTTTCATCAAAACCCTAACAAACTATATATCACTGGAACGTTAATTCCTTGCAAATTACAAAAATGTATATTTCGATGCTGTGTCAATTATTGTAATCTGAAAACGTGTTCTCAAAGTATCACATCATGCTGTGTATGACCTCTATGCACTTGAGAAAAGATTTTTGTGTACAATTTAAAAAGAAAAAGTTTTTTTTTTTAGCTTGTTTTCTAAAGTTAACAAATTGCCAGCTGATAGGAATGAGGGATTTGTAAGGAATTGAAAATGCGGAGCATTGACAACCATCTAAAGTTGCACAATCTAAATTGTCAAACATTTATTTTGTTAACTTGTATCCTAAGAAGTCTATGGCAAATTCCCTCATTCATATCAATTAACCAAGTGAGACCTAGTAATCCTGAAAATTTGACGTCAAAAGCTTTTAAAATCCTTCTTGAGATATCTTTTCTCAAAGGCAAAAAATAACTCGTTTTGAGAAAAGGAGCTTTGAACGCTTCCGGTCCGAAACTATCTAAGGGACTGGACGCTACTCCCCAGACTCTTTACTCCCACGGTAATCAATATGGCGCCTCTGGTGTCTTTTGGCCTTAAATTTTTATGAAATGTTTTAACTTATAATCGTCTTTGCCAAAGCGTTGTCTTTGATCAAGAATAGACGAGAAACTAAAATGTAATCGTTTCTATTATTTGAAAAGCTAAGTGAGACATGAATGACAGGAAAAGGGGGAAAAGAAGACACGAGAATGATTCGAGTACCTCAAGTTCTGATGACGAAGAGTTGCGAAAAACTGCAAGAAAAACTTCAGAATCACAGCAAGTTGCGAAAGAGAGAAAAAAGAAATCGCGACATGAAAAACGGACTAGGAGAGAGAGTAGTTCAACAAGTGACAGTGGCGACGAGCGCTCTCATAGCAGTGATCACGCAGGGAAGAAAAAGAAAAGAAAAACTACGCGTGAAAAAGACAAGGCGAGGAGAAAAAAAGAAAAACGAAAGAGGAAACGTGAAAAGGAGAAAAAGAGTAAACGAAGCAGGGCGAGACAAGATGAAAAGGCTGCTGTCAGGAGCACTGAGAAAGATATTGCCGTAAACATTGATCCAACACAAGGTCTGCGCTGCCAACATCATGCAGTACTTAGACTAACTATAAGCCTAAGCGTAACCTAGAGGCACATGTAATTTGATAATCGAGTGTGGTAGGTTGGCGTGTGGATATCGTGAGAGAGAGTGATGCTCATCTTGGTCTAATGCCCTGACCTAGTGGCCCATAGTGCCAAAAGAGATTATATGGGGGATTCGTGCAATGTGGCAAATAGACCCCAAGAGTGGTCAGCGTCACGCCAAAGCTATTGTACCCCTATACTGTTTGAAAAGAAACAAACGTGGACCCTTGTTTGAGTATTTCTTCTCTCTCCAGATGGAATGTCAGTCCATCACAGGGCAATATATAACAGCAGTAAGTTTAAGTTTACCATTACCTATATGTACACCTGGTATGAAGAAGCAAGTCCAAGACAAGTCTCGCCCAAACACTACTCAGTGATCCCCTTAAACCAAAACACTTCATTTGCAGTCCCACACGCCATTAACAGTTGGCCACCATATTCCCTGCAGATACTTTTGGCATATTTCATGATCCCATACCCTGGTCCTGTTGCCCCCTCCCTCCTCTCGCACAAAAAAATGCTAATTAAACTGCATTAATTTTGTTTACTATTTTTTCTGATTAACAATCACATATGCAGCAGTAGAAATATCACAAAAGCCAGTTTCAGCCGACTCTGGATCTGCAACAGTCACAAAAAAGAGGTAATATGTGATACAAACTAAAGCCATCTTTCGTGTGGAATGAATGTATAGAGAGCATAAACATTTGTATACATTGAGAAGAGGGGGGGGGAGGGGGGGGGTACTGTAAATATGGCAACACATGTCAGAATTAGAAAACAAACGCCCCAAGTGGTACCATGACATGCATTTGGCACCTTTAAAACATACGACAAGCACTATGCATTAAAAGGTGGTCCCCCCACCCCCAATCTACATCACTTACAACTTATCAATTGCCAGATGGGAGACTGCAGATACTAAGGCTGGGACTTCAACTGAATGTATGTTTTGACCAGAAATGGCTGTATCTCTTATCCCCTTTAAAAGATCCATGGTTCCCATGACAAAGGAGGAGTATGAAAAACAGCAAGCCCAGGTTAGGAGGGTGTATGACCCAGACACGGGTAGACACAGGTAAAGATATTGACTGTACAAGTAGCTACTGTTAACCTGGTGCTTTACGTTCTGAAAGTAAGCAACAACTTATTTTTCCCATCTGTTTCAAAACATGGAATAGGCCCATGGAATACAGTTTTATGTAAGTCGGATGCAAATAAATAAGTAAATAAAATTAGTTATATAGAAATGTTGCGGTTGCAGTCCAGGGCAGACCTGATTCTTGATTTAATTCATTTATCTTTTCAAATCATGAGATGAGCAAAATTTACGAGTGGAAATGGGGAGTAATGTAGTCAAGCAAACAGCTAACAAGAAAAGTCATAACCAGAGTGTGATGTTTAAAAACAAAATTTGTGTGTATGTACATTTTGCAACAGGCTTGTCAAAGGGACTGGTGAGATCTTAGAAGAAATTGTGAGCAAAGACAGACATAAAGCAATCAACAAGGTTGGTTAATGAGCATAGCTGCCACTCAAACAGATAGTCTTTACATGCTACATCTAGGATCAGATTTCTGGTGAAGTTGACAAATTACTCCTTAATTTTGGTGCAAAATTTCAACATTAATTTATAATTTCACCTGTGAAATTACAAAACTGCCATCATAATTATTATCATGATCATTATTATTATTATTACTGCCATCATAATAATAATTATTAGTATTATTATTATTTTCTTTATTTTTTTTCTTTAGTATTGTTTGATTTATTATCGTTTTTTACCATGTAATTTACAGATACTGATCATCGGTTTATACCAGCATCTTCCTCGCGGACTTCGCTGATCGGTCTTTCAGTTTTAAATAAAGCTTTTATTATGATGATGATGATGATTATTATTATTATTATCATTACTACTACTACTACGGCGACCACGACCACGGCCACGGCCACGGCCACGGCCACGACCACGACCACGACCACGACCACGACCACTACCACTACCACTACTACTACTACTACTACTACTACTACTACTACTACATGTATTATAATATTGAAATTGACAAAACATGCGTGAAATAATTTTCTTAATTTCACTTGTCACCATTTGATTACCTATACAAATACAACATGAAGCTTAAGCAAAGACTGAAAGTCTGAGGATTCAACATTTCAACTTGGGGGTTCATGTGACATCAGTGCTGTGTTTGACAATTTTATTACTTTGTACTGTGTGTAATATTAATACTATCTGATGTCCCAAGGAGTATCAAAGGACCAAAGACTGACTATGACTAGAACTAAAAATGTCTGTACCCCTCAACTTTCCACCAAATGTACCAGACTCGTGCACTCACAAGTTTAAGGATATAAATTACCAGCATTTCTTAGAAAATGCCTTCATTGGATTTCTACTTTTGCATTTCATTTCAACAGAACAAAGTATAAAAAGTGCTATACAATGTACATTAAGTTATTTTATTAGTGATTTTAAACTGGAAAGTTGTCGTTCCTCTTTTGTCATTTCAGACTGCTACTCAAGGTGATGGAGCATTTTTCCAAGCTAGTCTTGGTCTTAAGGATAAATAGAACTTGGAGGATCTATGTGCAGCAACATAAAAGAATGGACAGAATGTAAAAATTGTATTCTCATATACTGAATGTCATTATTTTGCCACATAAGAATGCAAGAATGGATAAAGACTATAACATCTCCCCTTACAGATTTAACTGATAAGAAGAAATAAGGCATACATGTATGTTTAGTTCATCACACAGCACTTATTATTTTCTGTTTGTGGAAAACTATGAGTGATATGTGTCGTGTGACAAGACTAGCTGCAAGTTAATATTTTAAAGTCTGACATTTTGCAGAGGAGGAGCCTGGGGATCTTGTTCAGACAATGTATACACTTAAGTGTGTTTGAAAACAGAAAACAGATTTCAAATTTACACTCGTCCATGGTATGAACATCTTATTGGATATACATTCAGTGCAAGAAGGCCCTGCATTGCACAGGAGTCTGATTGTGACAACCCAAGCTAGTGCTTGTAACTCAGTTAGTGACTGTAAAATAATGAAATGTACCTATTGAAATAATCACTCATTATATTATTACCAAGACTACTTTTTCCCTGATCATTATTAATACAAATAAACTGATTTCATATTTACAGCTCTACATCACCTTGTACTTCCAAAATAGTGATGAAAAACCAAACACAAGGCAACAAAGCCAGACTGCATAATATTTCATGCAGGTTAAGAGTGATTAGTACATTGACATTACTTTGTTTATATTGACAAGCATCTTTGCATTACTCTGTATACTTGTCTTGTGCAATTTTAATAAACTTCTTTAATCTAATACACTGTACAACCACTTTGTGGAGTTCAGCCTGATTCTCTTTTTTCTTTGACTGAATTCCTTTACAATCATGTCAATGGCCCCAAACCACTTTGTAGAAGAACACCATCCTATAAAGGAAGAGAATGATTTAGAGTTCATAACATCCTCTGCTATTTGAGTTACAATAGCATAAAGGTATGTCTAGCATAGTAACAATGACAACTGGTCTTGACACAATGCAATCTTTCTCACCAAATGGTTAATGAAAATGCTGTTCATAGCCTCTTCGTAGTGGTCTTTTTCAGCCATGTATCTGCTCCCTGTTGTACCCAGTTTACGTTCCTGCCTTGTAAGGGTCTGCAGTACTACATCGCATATTAATTTTCCTGTGTTGTTCTGAATTGTTTTCTTATATCTTTCTGGTTTACCAAGAGATAAAAGTTCTTCTTTGAGCTAGAGTACAGCAAAACAAAAACAAACAAAGCAAATTAAACAATGAAAACATTTAGTACTTCTTAACTGTACAATGAAGTTCAAATTGTATTTCCTTGAAATTTATCATTTTGCCAATTTGATGTACTAATCTCATCTGCAAGAACAATAAATATTATTATGACTGCTCTTATAACAATCGAAAGCTTTTTGATAATTAAGGAAACAGCTTAACGACATGCATGTTGAGAGTAACCAGCAGATTAAATGTAAGTAAAGTGCAATAAAATATTATAACTAGGGGACAAATGCAGTGTTGCAATTACAAGCTGGAAACATGACAATGCACATAAAAGTAACGATGGCTACTTTACTAAGTTGAACATTGAAAACAACTAGTCAAGCACCCAGGGGAGGCCATTCTGAAATATGACCACCCATTACATCTGCATCATAAAGACTTAATGAAAAACCTGGGAGTGAGCTGTAAGTTTCAAAATAACCACAGAATTGTATGAATATCTGGTTTTGGACAAAAAACTAGGAAGAACGCTTGGCTTTGGAAATAATATTCTGGTAACTATGCTAAACAATGGGAGACCGAAAAACAAAACAAAGTTAAAAGAGAATTTTAGGAAAAATAACCACACAAGAAAAGAAAAAAAAACAGCAAAGTAGCCTGCTTGTGCCATAATGCCTATGAGAGCCTGCTCATAAGCTACACACAAAGAAACAAACAAATATTACATAATTTTTAAGAGTTGGCTCTCTTACGGGTAATGGAAGACAGTCTTCTTGTGAGTAGTGTGCATCCCAAAGGCGAATAGCAATGCAAGAGGTGCCCTGTAAAACAAGGCAATCAGCTTCATTGAAAGTACAAGCACTTCATGAATTAGTAATAAATTAAATTACATTACATCTTAAATTATATGTTAGCATGCAATATTCATAAAGACAAGCAAACTGCCATAACAAAAACAATTTTACAACATGTACCAGGTTCTCTACTTAACTTTGACTTTATTCAGCTGTTCCTGAGTTTTCCAAGCTAAGGCTAATTAAATCTTAATTTCATAATGTGGTATTAGAAGAAAATAACGTTATTTTACCAACAAAGAATGTACTCCTTGATTGATTGCTTCTCGCAAGCTAGTGTCCACTGAATGACTGGATACAAATTGCAAGAAGGTCTGAAAAAAATAGCCATTGATAATAATGATATCTTATTACAAATAATTTTGAACTGTTCAAGTAAAATCAAAATGAGTTTATTCATTTGGCTGTATAAAAGATGCTGCAAGACATGCAACACATGCAATGGGCAATGGCTGCATAGGTCTTTGCATGTATGCATTGCATTTACAATGCCAGATAAATTCATTCTATATAACAAACTTACAGCACTTGGTGATCCTTCAAAGAGTGGTAAGTAATGAACCCCAGCATTTGCATACTCACTGTAGATTCAATGACAGTCAAATTAAGTTTCAAAGCCATTTTATTTTGTATAATATTAACATTTAAAATATGCACTTGGCAAAACCATTATGCTGCTGAACATTGAAAGATGTTGCTAACAGTGAGATGGATCTCAAAACTATGAGATTCAAGTTGACTAATTAACATATGCGTGTATGGAAAGTGCAAGATTTTCCATAGGCAGAATGTTGTTCCGCTACTTCAACTTTGATTGGTGTTTAAAACAAAATAATGGAGCCCATCAGAAAATTATTAAGGCTATATATATACAGTTGTGATGTTGATGATAATTAATCATGAATCTATTTCCTTGATTGTAAGTAAACAATTTTTACTCTTACTTTGAGAACAGTTGAAGAATGGTCCATGCAAATGGCACTATATTCAAATCTTTGCCCTTTGGTGCCACAACAGAACCTGGCCCTGATCCATCGACACTAGGGGTGTAGGAGGCATCAAGTGAGCACAGCCTGATCACCAGTGCTGTCATGTCATCTCTGTAAGGGTGAAACACCTGTACAATGCAATGCAATAAGAATCACTAGTCTCTACTATGGTGTTCTGTTGCAGACAAAACATATATTTTTAGTTGTAAAGTAACTTCATTTTCCTCAATGTAGGGATGTCTTTGTTTGGGTGAAAATTGAGTTCATTTTAGACAGCTTTGTGACTTAGGGATTTTTTTCGATGACATTAGTCATCGTTTCCTCTCATAAAGCAGAGCAAGACTGGTGACTTATGGTAACCTCATCTCACATGTTCTGGCATCACAAAGCAACGTACAGGATTGCCATAAGGACACCACAGCCAAATTGCATAAGAGCTGCACAGGGCAATGCAATTGAAGCAAGCTTATTCCATGTAAACATTTCAGGTGCATGACCAGTCCATCTTAGGTGTCTATCTTGTTGCAAAATTCTTACTGCTCAAGGGACTTACAGTGTATCTTAGTGAATTATTGGCAACCTTTAATTTCATCTTCGGCCAGTACATGTATGTCATGACAATAAATAAACACTTACTATAGGTGGGTCAATCCACTTTGGGGATTTCTGGTAGCTGTTGAAGTCATGCTGCTTTGTTAATGCCTTTTCTTCCCCACCATATCCTTCTTCTGTTACTTCTTTACGTTGCACATCATGTCCAGGAGATACGTGTACAAGGGCATTCACAAAGTGGGTGTTTGGGAGGCCAAATGCCTGCTCAACCATCAAAGACAGACCCTAACAAGAAGAAGCATTTGATCAACAAAGTATACGGGGAAAAAATCAATATAACAGATGAGCCACATTTTTTCTTGGTCTACACAACTGGAACATTGTGTAGATCCAGACAATATCCATACCTCCCCCACGGAAGGGATTTTTTCTTAGACCCCCACTCACCACTCAAGCCTCATAAGTTTCTTTCATTTTTTTTTTTTAGAGCAGCCCCCGCCGCCATGGAAATCCCTTCCGCAGGAGGAGTATGGATATTTTCTGGCACTGCACATTTTGCATTTTGCCCAAAAGTTTAGACCACTGAAAAAATTAATAGAAAGATGGAATCAATGGGAAAAACAGTGTGAAATCACATTCCTATATGTGCAGTTTGTAAGATTACTTTTTTCTGCTTGAAGTTGACCAGTCCATCAAAAATGTCACCTCAAATACCTCACTGCCAACTTGATGGTTTTGTTTTATTGGGAAGGAAAGACATGACAACTTCTCAGGCACCCTGAAGACTGCTTTGAATAACATTGCAGGTTATGTCATTTTATGTTCTATACTCTCGTCGATCATAGCTCTTGACCAATAAATGCGACACAAATTTCAGATCAGTTTTTGCAAAGAGGTAATTTGACTGACTTCACGCAACTTCCGGAATCAAATAGTCAAATATCCAAGATACTAATAACATCATTTACAATTACATGTAGTGTACAAAAAACCCACTTGTTTTTGGTAATACTGCACAACTTTGGTGAGGTCCATCGGATTGGCTGGTTGCCTCATCAGTAGATGCTTACTTGTCCTTCGTTGATACCACTGAGTGACAGCTTGATTATTGGTCAAGTCAATACCTACAGAAAGAGAAGATTAAATGCTGTAATATAACTACATTTTGTATTTCAGAACACAAATGAAACCATTTTTCCTCTGACTTATAATGACCCCTTTTAAGTAATTTAGAACAAGGAAATTACTATCAATTTCATTTTAAATTCAATTCAAATTACATGTAAGTAATAAGCAGACCAATCACTAACGACTTGAAAAAACTTTGAAGTTCTTGCGGTTTCCACACATAATAAACCTTGCGAGGTAATAGTCTCTTTGTATCTCATGTTTGGATTACAACCTATTATGCAGGAGCATTATTTGGCAACCCACATAACTACACACATTTAAAGAGGTTTACATACATGTAGTCACCAGGAAAGGCTTTTGTACATGTAAGACATTCAAACAAAGCATGTTAACTAATAGTTACCAAATGAAGGAATCAAAAGCTAGGTTGGTTTGGGTGAAGGATCTTGCATAACATTCAGTTAAAGAAAAGCATATTCTTGGATACCAGTAAGTGTCAAAGCAAAGTAAGACAAGATTTACATGTACCTCCAGCATCTTGTTCAGCTTCCTCTTCTTTGACATCGCGCACAGCTTCTCGTACTGTTGGAGGGTATGCTTCATGGTGCTGGAACCTTCTGAATATACGCCACTCTGAATCATTTGGTTTGCACTGATCACTGGCATAGGATCCACTTGAGTAACCTGGGGATTCTATGAACTCCTGAAAAAGAGGTGGACTTACAAATTTACCTTATCTAATACTGCTGGCCACACATGTACCAGCTTTTGTAGCAGGCATTGGATTGATCTTATGTGTGAGCTCAGCTAGAGAGATGAACAACATCAAAAGTAGAGGGAGCACCCTACAAAGTCATTTTCACCATCTCCCCAATATATTATGTGCCATTGCTGTATCTTCTATCAAAAACTGATCGACAGAAACCAAGTGCAAAAACCGTGAATGGGAAAGAAGTAACTGTTATGGCATGCTCTACTTAATGCAGTGGAAATGAAATCATGCAAGCCCAAATACTTAATGACAACTTCACAGCAAGAGTAACAATGTGCACAGCAATTCACTTTTAGGACTTCCTGGACACACGAAGTCTTCACACTGTATTGTCTAAACTTTGTGAGCACTGAAACAAAACCAACCTCTGAGTGTGGCAAAAGCCTAATGAGGATCGAACAGACTGGAATCTTAGTTATGCCGTCAAATGCTTCCTCTGTTAATTTGGCCACAGTGGAAGGAAGAATATGCCGCAGGGGCAGCTGATGTCCTCCTGAATTTAGATGCCACTAAAAACAAAATTGATACATAGTAAAAGACTAGATACATTAGGACCAGGCAAATGTCACTGCACATACATGACTTTGTGTATGTATAGAACTAAACAGTCACAGTAAATGTTGGCTCATAACAGTATTAAAAACATAGCCACCTAAATGGCCTATTCCTGGGCAGGTGTCATCAATGTAACACATCTTATTATTAATAAATTATTGTGGTAAAGGTGGGCAGTCTAAGTACATTTAGTCTAGCAGCAACTTACACCATATGTAGTAAGTTAATATTTACTTGTCATGTCAAGAAGAGATGACTGTCTATCGATGGACACCTGTTTTAATATCAATGCAGAGTAATACATGTAATTTTATAAAGTCGCTGCACTGTTGACTGTTGATTGAAGCTAAAAAATCCCTATCCTGCCTTTGTTCCAAGGGTAGCCTAACCAAAACTAATCTGGAGGATAAAATAGTGATCAGAAGATATATGCTTTTGCTGGTGATGGATTAGCATTCCATCTAGGGTCTGGGAGAAGCCAATTTTTAACCCCTAGTTCGATCACTCCACAGAAACCAGGATAAGCTGCCACAGCATAGATCACTTTCTCTTGAGAGCAGGGTGCTGTACCTTATATAAAATTATTCATCTACCAGACAAGTGTGTGAAATGTGGGCTACCACATATGCCTTCTCAGGAATGAAGATAAACATTAGCTCAGTCATAAGAAACTATCTAGTCTCAAACCTTATGTCACACCCTTGAGACAGCAATGTTTCTATAAGACACTAGTAAAGTTTCCAGGCACAATAATAAGCATTAATTCAAAATTCAAGGAATGTACCTCATCATTCTCCTTTTCGATAAAGACCCTTATAATACTGTTTCCAAAAACGATTAGTTCTCCACTGTTAACATCAAGGGTGTAGATTCTAAGCAGCAGCATGGCTTCCCCTGTGATGCCACTATGAGGAGTCTTCACAGTGTACCTATATTGGAATTTTGGTGACCGTGCTGATGAATCAAGCAGTGGAAATGCCTCAATATCTGGAATGTTCAAAGTCTTAGGTTTCTCCCAAAAAGGGTCCAAAATGCGGCCAGTAACCTGAGATATAAGGTTAGAATAAAACAAAATTAAATCAAAAAGTTAATGACAGAAAAATTATCCTCTTGTTATACTCATATCTAAGAGGCTAAGCCCTTTACTTACCACCTCTTGAAATTAATTATCCATGCCTGCCAAGTTAATGCAGACTTAAAGCACAGTAAGAGTGCTCGTTTTAGTTGTAGAGTGTTCGTAATATTATTGATAATATTATATTCTAAGCAAGTTTGACTTAGTCAGGGGTTTCATTTCGGGACAGGGCCCAGGGCAAATTGACTGGCTGTGAGGATGATTTTTCCCACTGGTTTGACCATCTAGAGGAAACTTTTTCTCATAAAGAAGTTCAGTTCAAATATTTTTGCCCGAATTTGAAAACCAGTTGACCTCCTGCTGAAAAGTCAATGAAACTCCCGCTTAGTAACAAAATTTTCAATCACTTTATTAAACAAATGTACCTTAAATTTAGTAGCGCATCATGATTCCATCTGAGAATGTTTCCTTTATCTTTAGTGAATAAAATGACCAAAAGTCTTTTTTCAATCATGGGTACCTTGATAATGGTAGCATTGTCAGGGATAAACCTGACTTCATCAATGTATACATCAAATGAGTTGTGATTAGTAGTCTCTTCTATGGAAGATGATGTCACTCTACTCTCTAACCACAATTCCAAAGGCTCAGTTTGAAGTGGTGTACTTGGAGTAGAGTGTCTACTAGCAGGCCGGGTAACTGATGAACCATGAGATGACAACACAGATGGCTCTGGGCTTGGTATGATTCCTTCATGTTCTGATAGTGAAGGAAGCTGCGTAGGTCTAGAAATAAGCAAATAGTGTTCAACTTTCACGTAACTTATTGAATCCAAGCCATTTTCTTCTGCCAAGTCAGCTCTACACCCTTGCTCTTCTGCACACAAGAAACTTTCCCCCTGCAAATGTTCTTTGTACGAGACAGTTACAGTCAAACCAAGTGAAGCATATCCCTCAAGATTACATTTAATGAATTGATTATTTGAATATTGAACCCGCTAGTCATTTCAAGAATGCAATAATGAATTGATTATTGGAACATTGGACCCACTAGTCGCTCCAAGAATACAACTAATGGGTTTAATGTTCAAAAAAATCAATTTAATATTGGTTTTTGAAATGACTAGCAAGTTCAATATTCAAATAATCAATTCATTATTACATTCTTGAAACGATTAGCAGGTTCAATACTCAAATAATCAATTCATTAATGTAATTTTGAGAGGTACACTTCACTTGGTTTGACTGCAATGACCTTCACAAGTCAACAGATAAAAAACAGACCACTCATGGAATAAAATGTATCTCTGACAAACTGGTTTTATAACTTCAAAATTGTAAATCTAAATCTCACTCACAAATTTCCATCACGGTCTCTACAGCCAACTCTCAAGGGAAGCTGTAACACAGGCTATTGCCACTACAAACTTACAGTCTTAGTGATCCAACATCTCTTAATGCTCCACCACTGCCCAAATATGACAGTCCTTGTTGAACATCCACAGTGAACAATTCAGAAGGCTGATCCAGTAAAACTCTTCTGATCCCAGCATGACCTATAGCTTCCAAGATGTGACCCCTCAGGAGTTGCAATACAACAAGACAAGTGTTCTCCATCACGCTGGGCTGCCAATCACACATGAAACACTGATCCCACACCATCATTGCTGCATGAACTCCTAGAATGCCTACAAATCCCTGAGGGAAAAAAACACAAAGCAAAAGTCAAACTAAAAAATCCACTGATTTAGTCTCATGGATCACATCACTTTTCAAGATTTGGACTACACCAAATATTGAATTTTAAGTTTATACCAGCTGTCTTGTACAATACTAAATTCGACATTTTCTGGGTCAATCCATTGACACCTTCTGTAAAATCTGTGTTTCAGTCATTCTGCTAGCATTTGTGTGGCTGTATGACTACACGCAAGGTTAACATTCAGCTACTAGTCTTGGATTACTGAAATACATGTAGTTGATACAAAAGGAAAATGTACTTTATCCATGGAGTCAGAACACAGTAAAGAAGGAAGCCAGTGCCCTGGCCTAGCCCTTGGCTCTAAACTTAGGAGGGGCTCCGTCAAGGCCAGGCTGGGCACATGGCCCAGGCACTGGTCTATCTGCTGGTGGTTTGCTGGCAGCCAGTGGTCAAAAGTGTGGGTGGGTGGGGGGGGGGGAGGNGACTGCAAAATTGTTGGGGAAACAAAATTAGCATTCAGTTTCATTTTTCTCTTCATTGTCGACAGGATTAAAGTAAAAATATAAGTTCTGTTTTAATGTTCTACCGAAAGGAAACAAGTCAAATATTTTCGATTTGGCACTTTCTTATTTTTTATGATAAAAAATCATGAAAATCAAAAATTGACATCAATTTTCAATTTTTGATTTTAAACAAAAATTGAATGGATGAATGACCCACGGACCGAGAACCCCCATCCTGTCCAAATTTCCAGTGGTCCATATTTTCTGGACCACACAATCCTAAACTAACAGCAGCAAAGCTTAACAATACACTACATACCTCCCCTATCCACTTTCTCATAAACATAGCTGGGTGAAAGAGGAGCTCCTTGGCATCTGAAGGCAGTGACTCAAAAGAATTTCCTAACGCTTCTCTTTCTGCCAACATTGCCTTCTCTTTCTCAGTGTGGATAAAGTTTAGCAAAAATTCTCTTGGGTCAGATGTAATGTTCTTTCGTGTTTCATTAATAAGGTGAGTACACAGCTCCTTGTCTTCCTCTTGCAGTCTTTGCAAGACATGATCAGCCATACTGAAGATTCTTAGCCTTGTTGGGAAACAGTTTTTGATTAACAGGTGAAGTGAAATGGCAAGCTTGTGGGTCAGGCTTGATCCACCTGGAAAGAGAAGTACACCATGCAGGTATCATTAAAAAAATAATATTCTACACACTAAGTAAATAATAACTCACAATTAACTACAGTTTGTACTCTAAAAATAATTATAGTGATATATTAAAATATATAATTGTTTTCTGGTCACCATAATAACTATTGGTTACAAGTTGCAACAGCTGATGATGAGTGAGTTCCAGTTTCAAGCTGTTGTTTCCCAAGCATACATGTACATGTACATTCTGTTGTCCTGTGCTCTGAGGTGTTATCTAAGTGAAGGAAGTTCTCAGCTACAGGGATATAACAACATAGACAGGGCTCAGGGACTTTGCTCTTTAATAAATTATAACAAGGCAGTATACTGCATTTCTTTAAATTTGTGACAAGCCAGTAATTACCTACCAGATTGAACATCCAAGTGTCCATTTTGGAAAGTAAGTATCAGAGGGTACACCAGCAAGGCATACTGTGGTTCATACATCCGGTTGTAAACATATAATACATTCAATACATCCACTGCTTGTTTTATGTCCATCTCTGATACAAGTTCACTGTGTAGACCTGGTCTGTATTTATATGCTTCTATAACAGCATGTTTTATAACCCCAGCTATTGGAGAGTGGACTGCGCTGGATACACCAAGTTCTTTCAGGCCCCATGAAAGAGACACTTCAAACTGTGTGCTGATTTCTTTAAATTCATTTTCCAAGTCTTCAGAAGAGTGTATACTGTCTACATTTTTCCTCTGCAATCTCATTGACCAAATCTGGTGTCTTAGTGAACAGGGCAGCTGTCGTCCTTGGAGCTGCTCACAAATGCGAGCCAGCTGAGAAGGGTGTTTTTTTAGGAGAGTAGCTACAGCCTTGCCGAGAGTGTCACTTTGGTGGCTGCCTCCAAGGAGTCCCAGCTGTCTCTCGTCATATGAATTCTTTGTGAAGAAAATTCCACTTAAAGTTACAAGAATTGACAAACACATCATGTAATTTTTGCCTAATAACTAATTTGGAAATCTTCTATGTGGATACACCTACTCTAGGATGAACTGATGTCAGTCAATTTAAAACCTGCCAACAGAATTTACGTTGAGCTACATGTAGTTGGTAGCCACTTCTTGGGATGACATTAAGTCTTAGATGTTTGACTTAAACAACCCATGCAACAAAGTCCAAAAGTCATCACAGTCTATGAAATGAAAGCAAGCAAAGTGAAATAAAAGAGCTAGAGGCAAATACCGTTACATGTCGTACAATAATTATTACTCACTAGTTTGAAGTGTAGTAATCTGGTAAAGACCTTTGATAACATTTTCCAAAACAGTTATTAATATTTTGACTACTACAGCCTTACTTTCTCTTTGTATTGGGCACTTTGCTTTTCCACCGTGGCAAGTTCTCTTTCCATCCCTCTGTACACTGCTTGCTGTGCAAAACCTACAAACTCCAACATGTCACGAGACACAGCATCTCTGTCATCCCTCCAGTGTAAATGAAGGCTGCCTGCGATCTCTTGAAGTGTAGTTTTGAGCCAAGCCTGTGCTTCTGTTTTAAGGGATTCAGATGAACTTGGTGTGCCTAGGATTCTCTGTTGATTATTTCATAGTTAACTGGTTAGTGGCAAGTAGATAATGAATAGCTTCACATTATTCAGTGAAGGTCATCCCTAACTTACAAAATGTTATAATTGTTGATCATATCACTTATTCTAATCACCCATCTGCTGTACAACAGTGCTTTTGCACAATTCTAACATAACTTGAACAGGACTATTTGGACCAAAATTTACTAATCAAAATGTCCATCGCCAAAGAAGGATGGTTATCTTTGTCAATGGCGCAAACCTCTTTTCTCAGGATTACTGGAAATTCCTAGGGAAAGGAAAATAAAAACTAAAACACCAGTTTGAAATTCCACAGGGATGGGGGGGGGGGGGTTCAAAACAGAAAAAATCCTCTCTATTTGGAGGGGAATGGATATTTTCTGGAACAACAACGCTATGGTTACCACTGGCATTTCCTCAAGTTACTCTTATAGGTTAACCTACTAGCTCTTACATATACGCAGGCATTCCTTTGGGTTGTTGGGCATGTTGAGGGAGATTATGAGAAGTGTCTACAAGCATATACGCATGCATATATATGTATAGAAGGCTAATAAATACATGTAGACTGTATGATTTGCTAGTTTGCTACTTCTAATCTGGAAAATTCACCTGGTTGTGATGTGACATGTACATATCAGGAAGATATCTCTCCATGAACTGCTTTCCGAGCAATTCCAACAAAGGCTGAACCTTCTCAATTTGTGAATTCTTGCAAAATATTTGCACTTTAGTGGCCAAACTTTTGTTCATAGCATCTCTGATCTGATCAGAAATAAAAATCATATTATAGTTAGAGCAGCATGTCATGTCAGTTAATTGTTTCTGAGAATGTCTGTACTGTTTATTAGCAAAAGGACAGTTTGAGAGCAGGAACTTTACTGTACATGTACATGTAGGGTTTTGAATGTCTTGTGAGTTAAACAAATGCTTGCAATGTTTTACAAAAAGTTTTCTTACCAGAATTGTAGGCCACTCTAACATGAAATAGTGTGTATTATTTTAATTATACAGTTCCTTAACCAGCCTTAGATGACTGTTTTCTAACAGAATTCAAAATTACAGCAATAGTTGCCATGAATGTGAATTTAATCATGGTGATTGCTTGTAAGACTGTTTCCTGGCTTACAGGGCCTAGTGCTTCAAAAAACTCTTTATCTATAGTAACTGATTTTATTAGATGACATACATGGGTGATATAAATATACATGTAATCCAAGAGTGTTGGTTCACGTTTTTCGAGCTAAAAGCTAATAGATATCAATAGCTGGTGATTAATCACTAATGGAGACAACTTAACAGCTACAAATTTTACATGTACACACATCAATACCTTGGTCCATGGAGAGCCTGGTAGAAGTGTTTCTTGTAGACAAGAATCCATCCACACTAGGTAGTAAGGGCTGTGAACTCCACTACTCATTGTCGATTAATATTTAGAGTCACTTTATTTCAACAACTCAGTAAAGCATTGTAGCTTTAGAATTGTGACTGATTGGCTTTAAACACAACTTGAATTACTTTTACATTTACATCAAGAATTATGACAACACTAGTAACACTTTTGTAACAATTAAATAATAATTATTTTATTTTATTTTATAACAAAAATAACCTTCTTCTCAAATGGTGATTCAGACAAAATTACAATTAATGTTTGTTAAGGTTTATGAACCAACTCAATCAAGTCACTTAAATGTTATATTATATAATTTACTAATTTACTATGATTTTGAACTTCACAGAGGTACATGCATTATTTTGCAAACTCTTAGACGTAGCAAGCAATAACCTCAAAACTATAATTCCTTCTCTAAAATTTACTTAGCTTATAATTTTTATTATTTCGTGTGTGTAAGTATTTGGATAAAAAGTTGAATTCAGAACAGAAATCTTGTCAAAATGACTAACAAAACTCAAAAAATATCAACATTAATTATACATACATGTATTTATGGTTAAATAACAAATAATACCTTGAATTGCTAGTCAAGGCTTTAAGGTCCTTTAAGTTTTAAACTCTAATTTAATGTTATAAATATATAAAGACAAACTAAAACTACTGCCAATTGTTTTTCAATCAGGATAGGTGAGAGGTAATAAAACTATTTGTTCCTAACAATAGCTAGAAACCACAATAATATTATAGAGTGTGGAAATAGAATACAACTATTAAGTTGCAAAGTCAGGTCCACTTAGACCAAAACAGTGTTTGAACATCTTATCTTTGTATGAATTCTCATGCCAAACACTCTGCAAAATAAAAAAAGGAAATTACATATTAATTAATAGAAGAGTTTGAAGTATAATTTTAACAATACTATTCTTTACACTTACAAGATCTTCAAGACCCTCAAACAACCATGACTGTCCAAAAGGGGAGATGACATTTTGATTACAGGACTGAACCAATGGCATATAAGAAACTAATTGTAAAATATGTACAGTAAGTTGCTTCTCTCTAACATAAAATTCCAAGTGTAAACAATGTGCCAGGAAATAGGATAATACAAATTGTGTAACTATGTACATGTAGCTTATCTAAAGTAACCAGTAACTTAAGCAAATGTTTTCAAGAACATCTTTTTGTCTCCTAGGTAATTATTTTCTTAGTTAGTAATCACTGGGAATGTAAACAAACAATAATAATATTAACTGATGAGAAAAGTTGTCCAAACTGGAGAGAATGCTGGACTAACTACATGTAGTACTCTGTCCTATTCACTGCTTGTGATTTTTGAAGTTCTTAAGTTGAAATCTTTTATTATACACAACGGTCTAGAACTTAAGCTAGCCTTGTTGCTGGAAAACAGAATTCAAAAGACAGAATAATTACTTACTTTAGAAGAAGTGCGGCATTTGACCAAGCAGAGTTCAAACTGATCACTGACAGACTTTGATATCACATTAGGCACTGATGATCCCAGTTTTAAAATTTGCCTCAGTAACTCCTTCTGTAGGTCGAAACAAAACATTTATTCAGATTTAATAAGATTCCTTCATGATAACCAGAAGAAATGCAATGTTTATTATTATAGTTCTCTTATCCCTGCAACAGCCAAAAACATATTAGATGTACACGGACAACTCAACAGTCTGAAACACCAGGTACCCCTCTGATGTGCTTAAAAGACATGTAACTATTTACAAAGTGTTGCAATGAATGCTAAAAGTTGACAACCACCTTGGAATGTTGTTTGTGATTGACATCCCACACAACCCAAGGAAAGCCAGCATAACTGTACAATGTATATGACCTCAAGTCAATAGACACATAACTTGAAGGTGAAGACGTGAGCTTGCAATGTGACCAGCTCATATTAAAATTAATGTACATTGAATGCTTTAAGAGCAGACCAATCAGTAGAACTTACATTATTAGGATTTAAACAACAGGAAACACAGTGCTCATAAATACTGCAGCAGTTATTTTTTTGACAATCTGAGCACTCATAACGTTTAGTACTATCTCCACTGCTGTGACAACATCCACTGGCAGACAGGTCTCCCCGACTACAAACAAATCCTGGAAATGAAACAGGACATACTTCTAGATAATTCATAAATTATGTCTAAAATACAAAAAAGAGAATTTTACAAGTAGGGAGATATTTTCAAAAGAGGAGTGGAATAGTGTGCAGATTTGCACAGGGAAACCAAAGAGACTTCCCAGTTTACTTAAGGGGGATCATGAGTACTAAAGGCGTCCATGGTCGAGTGTCAGTTGATACCCTTGATCGACCCTTAACAGACATCTCAAGTGACACTGATCGACATCTCCATGGATACTTGGCCAACATTTGGTTGACGCTCAATCAACAACTTGATCAACAATCAATCAATAGTCAGTCAATAGTTGGCCAAGTATCAATTGACTCAATGTATTGATAGACACTAGCTGGAATGTCTGCAAAAATAAGTCAACTCTTGACCAACTGTCAACCAAGATGTCGATCAAGTATCAATTGAGTGTCAACCGAGGTGTCAATCCAACAACAATTATTGAGGGTATCGACTGACACTCAACCGCAAATGCCTTTAGCACACGATCCAGTACATGAATAAAGAATTGCTAAAAAAAATAGCCTTTTCAACACTACAGGCCAGCTTACTAGCCCGTTGTAAATATGTCTCTCAAGTATGGCCAATACAGTCATGTTATTGTGAGTTCACCAGGCATAAGAAGTAAGTCCCAGGGACCGTAGAGGCCATTTTAAAGTGGTAAGGCTAAAAAATCTGGCCAGTACTACTGGCCAATATTACTTTCAAGTGGTAAAATCCATATTTAATCCATGTCAACTGGAGCCCTAGAAAAAAATTAAAAATCCCAGCAATGAAAGTGGTAGGGCTTTAGCCCTACCAGCCCCTCCCTCTCCGCAGTCCCCGAGTCTGTGTCCACGAGATGGCTTGAAATTGAAGATTTGAGACTCCACACATTGTTGTGGGCCTCAGTTAAAAGCTGGAAAATGTTTACTATTGTGAACATCAAATTATACAGCTGACCTTTGCTCTCTGGGAAAGGTCCTTAGTTGGCAAGAATAGTTCAGGCCTCACCTCTTTCATCCACAATCAATAAAGCTCCTTGAATTGAATTTCTACAAGCTCTAAACTCTGTCAAGTTTTCGATGTTGATCCACTGAAATTCAGTGATGGGAACTTCCAAGATGTCAGACTCTTGGTAAGACTGTTGAAAAAAAACACATAAGGGCCTTGACAGACTAGACAACTAAAAAAAACACAGTTTGTGAGATGGGTTGTTGACAACTAAAAGCTATTTTTTTGTTGTCAACAACTAAGCAGTTTCCCTTTGTGAAAAGGGAATCTGCTTTAGTTGTTGTTTTTCCCGTATTGAAAGATGACACACATTTGAGCAAGTGTATTGTGTTTTGAGCATGCGTAGTGAACGTTAGTTCCCAAGTTCTCACTGGCCTGACTTGGCTATCAACAACTAACACAGTAACTTTCCAGTGTGTGGAATGCTCACATCACATACAATCAGTTGTTGATAACATTTTAGTTGTCGATAACAATTGGTTGTTGATAACTACATGTCTAGTATGCGGAGGCTTGTAAAGATACAACCTACAGAAATGCACACAATCTCGGGGGGAGGGGGTTACTGTCATATATGCGTTATATAGGTATGTGCCACTGTGAAGGGTATGGTTTTCAAGCACTTTACTCTAGGATAGGGTATATAAATCA